TCATCGGCGTTCTCGCTTTTACCGGAACGAAAATTTATTTATTTCTGCTTTTGCAGGCGCCGACGGCGCACAGAGGGTATTAAGAACTAAAAGTTGGCCAAAATTATGTTTTATGATTTTTTTGCTTTTTTGCTAGTAATATTAATTATTAGAGGAGAGGGTGCTAATATGGAACCTCATTTTGTTTTTCCTACACAATATTTTTTCCTCTATTCTGAAACCCTTTCCACCGATCAAATAGGGCCATTCTGTGCAAAACCAAGCAATTGGATGAGGATGCTAGAACAAGAAAGTAATTTGTATATTATAGACGATATTTGAGCGAGGATGGGTGTTATAGGGTAAAGACTATTTCCTTTAAGAATCTATTTAAATCAATGTTTTTTTTGGCAGTGGCAAATATTGGCAAGATTTTTGTACATATTCCAAAGCTGGAGACTTTAAGCATTGAACGGATACTAATTTCCATGCGGAATATTGCCGAATAGTCTTACACCTTATAAAAATGCCTCTGATTTTTTAAATATAAAACATTATAAAGAAATAGAATAGAAGGAAACGTTTCAAAATAAAAATATGGCATAAAACAGGACTTTCCAGCTGGCTCTGTATCCATCATGACAGTTATTATAAACAATTTGCAAAAAAAGCACTACAAACAATTCCACTATTTTATAATCTTAGAAATTTTCAGAATACACTCAAGATAATTCATACTTATAATTGAAATATATTATTTATTTGATAGTCAACTTACGACTTAAAAAAAGCTAATAAACGCGCTTACATTTAGTATTTATAGATTTGTATTCAGTTAAGATAAAAATGAAAATAAAAATATTTCACTTTTGGCCAGGTTTATAGACCAAATACCCCTATGTGCGGGGCCGGCGCGGCGGGAGCGGCGTTTGGATATGGTTAGGTTAGGTTAGGTTAGTTAATCAGGTAAATTTCCTCTTAATTAACTACTTCCGAACCCTGCTCGCATCTCCGAAAAAGCCATATAACAATACACGGCATATACGCAAAGTTACGCATCACGTGTATTGTTATATGGCTTTTTCGGAGATGCGAGATGTGAGCGATATGTGGTCAAGAATAGGTCCCCAGAGACGGCGCTGGTTGCCGGAAAGCAGAAACCTGCCTCCACTATGTTCGTACCCTTATCTTCTCACCGTGCAAGTCTGCCTTATCTGTACACAACACAACCAGTATCTTCCCATTTTCTTAAGCACTCACGAGACGTACGCGTTTACTAACATAATTTATCTCGGTAAAATCGCCTTCTTTAAGATTATTGCTTTTTTATGTCAGTATATAATGATACGGGTAAAGTTTGCTTACCTTTGTTTTAGAGACTTGACTCTTGACTGATAGGTCTACTTGGAATCTTCGTTAAAGCAATTTTTTTCTTTAAATTATAAATAAAAATGAATTGTATCAACTTAAAAACACTTTGAAACTACTAAACACGACAACTTCAAGACATTCAGTGGTTTCAGCCGTTTTATTTGCTTTATGGCAGAGGCGCTAACTAGTATCTTTGTACTTTACCATACAGGGTATTTTGTTCCCATCTTTTCTGAATTTTTCACCATCCTTCAGTAATTTTTTACTTGTTAGTGGCATTTTCTCGTATGAATAATTAAAAATATAGGTCATGTAGGAAGTGGCAATATTGCATCCTTTTTAGTGCCGTAACCATGGTAATATCGGAGATTAAAAAATTATACCCTGGGAAAATTTCCGTTGAAAAGGCAGTTCTAAAAAGTTTTCGAAAAATATACAAAGAAAATGCACGATTTTCAGCATCTTTTATTGCGAAAAAAACCTCATAGACGTGTTCCTGGGGTCGAAATATACCACCCCTGAAAATATTTGAATTTATTTAAGAGTCACCCTGTATAAATTGTTAAACAAAAGGCCTCTAAGTTAAATGAGCATAAATAGTAAAATTAACTGAGAAAATCCAATTAGCATTATTTGTTGCGTAGTTGTCCTAATATTTCGTGGACATAGAACTACTATAGACTGTTCAGCGATCGTTCAACGCTACGTCATCATCATTAATTTGCCAAATATGCGTTTTAGGGTGTGTCTGACGTTCATAATAGTACGAGAGTTTGCAACTTCGAGAAAACAAGAATTTCAAGAAAACTTTTACTATGCTCTCTGGAACAGCGTGCGGGTCTCCTGGCTGCCGATAGACATTGGCGTTCACTAATGCGCATTGAAAGAAGATCCTATATTTTTTATTTCGTTTAAATTGTATTGAATATAATTCGAACAAGCCTCCATGGCGCGACTCGAAAAGGTTCCGTCTATGAAGCGAAAAGTCCGAGTTCGAGACCGGCTCGGGGTAAACTTTTTTTTATTTTATTTTCTGATAGTAAAGTATTAAATATTTGTTATTTTTTTGAAACACCAGAATTATTTATTACTTCAGAATGTACATCAGAATACCGCCGAATATACTTTTTGCGCCGCGCTATAGAGACTTGTTCGATTTATAATCAATACTACAATTTAAACGACTAAATAAAAAAATACAGGATCTTCTTTTAATGCAGTAGTGAACGCAACGTCTATCGGCAGTCAGACGGCCCGCCCGTACGCATCCAGAGTGCATAGCAATAGATAAAGAAAGCTTTCTTAAAATTCTCTCGCGAAAACGTTGCTAGCTCTTAGACAGTTTTTTGGTGTGACAATGAAAGCGACAGTGTTGCCATATTAAAATGTGCAATATCTGTATACGTTTGACGAAAATATCTTTGGAAGAAAAATCCGCGTTTATGTATTGAAAATTTATTCGTGTTAAACATAGAATAAACAACAAAAATAAAAATTCTTGTATAGATACTGAGTATGTCGTATGATCGAAAAAAGTCGTTTAGTTGGTTTGCAAATGACGAATTATTGACATTTACCATAATATTTTACATATGAAATAACAGCGATCTTCATTTCCAAGTCAACTCTGAAGCTGTTCTTTGTTTAATCATATAATATTATAATAAATCGTTTAATGATAAAAATCCATATTATTCGTTAATATGGAGTACGTTTACTGTATCCAAAATCCGTAAATATACGGATTAATCAGTAGTTCTGGCAACACTGTCTCCGGCAACCGCTCACTCTGTCGACCGAAAGCAGAACTACGGTACAGTATTCTTTATCCGCTGCACTGTAAACGACTATCAGCGCGCAGTGGCGCAGGGCTAAACTAAATCTCGGAATTCTCGGACAGACTGACGGTAACGCCAGCTACATCTCGGACAGGTTTTGTGCCACGAAATCGCCCATAAGAGATCGAACTCACTGACGACCAGGTCGCAACGACCTGGCCGTCGCGTCGGGTCGGCTGGCCGGATGTATTGCGTTCGTAGCTGCGGCTATATGAACGACCAGTTTCAACAGAATTGTCAGATCTAACGATTGTTTACGTTTTACCAATTAGAAAATATTGTTTCAGAAAGTATTAAGATTCAGAAATGTTAAAATATCCGAGTTAACTAAAAAGCGAAGTTGGTATTCATGAGCTTATTAAATGTTTTAACATTAAATAATGCATTTAAAATATTCTAATAAATACTGGTGTGGTAAATGGAGTAAGTAAAATCTCCAACCCCGACTACACGATAACGTCGTTATTTCCATGTTTTTCAAATCGGCGATGCCTGCTATTCCATCAGTCGTTTCATAACAGAATATTCTACATCCTACGTCTGTGTCATTTAATATGTGTAGAGTGAGACATGTAACTCGTGAGATTTTCAGCATTATATCAATAAAGGACAAAAACAGTATTGTTCCTAAAGGTGCGTCCAGACTTGAGGATTTTAGCCCAAACGAACCGAGCCCGCACGAACAAGCAGAACAAATAGGTCGAACAAAAAGCATTGTGTATGCGCGACCGACAAAAAGGGAGATATTCTGTTTCTTTTTTCTACTGATGGCTCTTATCGACTTTAGAAGTAAACATATTAGGGCCATCGTAAAAAAAGGTAGGCAGACACTGGCTCTAAATATAAGCAGGTAGAAAGCTTAGCTTCCAGTTATTTCAATGTTTACAATATAAATTCCTCTTTTTTATTGTTACTGAGAATCTACAACAGTAAATACTTCTATTTTTATGAATGTTTAAGTTACTTTTACTCTTAATTTTTTTTAAAAATAATGTACCTAGTAGAAATATAGTCTAATGGACCCTGTTTAAAAAACGTTAAATTAAATATAATATTTAAAATACAGTTGTCCTCCTTGTACATGACTACAATACAACTAAAAAACTAATTTAATAAAAAAAAAACAAGTGGTTGTAGAAAAACTTTAAATATGATTTTTTTTATTTTTAACATCGGAACTGGAAGGTATAATAACAGGTATCACACCAACCATAAATAGAGTATGTCATATAAAAATGTTTTGAATTTTTACTAGAATCGACCCTTGATAAAAAAACGGACTAGATTTAAGTTTCCCTTTGATCCAGTCTGTAGACTGTTTCTTTGGATTTTCTGCACGTGTGCAAAAACTACACTAAAACACTATATCTTATAGAAAATAAAATATTGTGCGTTGAATTTGAGGGATTTCATCTGAAAAAACATTAATTTGGAAGAAAACCGGCAACATGCGGCAGAAAATAATAATATTTTAGTGCAATCTACTGGTCGCAACGACCAACCGACGGCCAAGATGATAGTGTGCGCTGTATTATTTGATTTAATGGTTTTAGAGGAGCATGGTATTGGCGAGACCTGTTTGTCAGTGTGTTCGAGCTCTAAGGTTGCGCATCTTCTTATTTCTTCAATCAACGGTTGAATACAATCGTTGCATAGTTGTCAAATCAGTTAGTAAATTATCCAAAAAAATCGTTTGTCTGGATAGTTCATCCGATCCTCAATTCAAAAAAGCAGGTTTTGCATACAGACCTACGCATTTATCGAATTTTTATATGTTTTATGTAGTTTTACTTACAATTCTTTAATTTGTAGTGTCAGTGGGAAGAGCAAATGAAAGATACTCTAATGAAGATTTATATAAACCCCGACCAGTTTTTAACTACACAAGTTCTCGAAGAAGAGGTAGAACTGAATAGTTTCTAGTATAGTAGCTGATATAATATATTATTAATTAATATTTATGTATATTTTTTTAAAAGAAATTGTATTTTTACTCTTACAAATAGCTTCAAGTAATAAACATTTTACTTAATTGATGTATTTTTAATATATTGCATGCCTTGCGTAGTTGAAAGATTCTTCTGCGTTGTTCATTAACGCCCGATTAAAACTATAAAAGTATGCTGGTGAACAAAATCCCGCGCTACTATTGGCCGGTAAGCCATAAATCTTAACGAGTTTCAGTAGGTTCGAACTCGATTTTCAATGAGCTATAACAGTCCTCCATACACCAGAAGACCCGGCCTGCAGACTTCCCCTGTCCCGTACCAAAAACTTTCGTATTTTGGTCGTCCGACTTGGCCTGTCGATCAGATCTTTGCCCGATTAAATGTTCTCGTTTGGGACAAAATTCGATGTTTTAAGCTTGATTTTCATGCATCCGTTGTCCGACGATACGATGATACGATATTAATTTTATTGGTTGAATATAGGCTTCGATTGGTTAACCGTTTCTAACCAATCGAAGTCTTTAAATTCAACCAATAAAATTGATATCGTATCATCGTATCGTCGGACAACGGATGTATGAAAATCAAGCTTTTTTCGGGGGTTTATACAGGGTGTCCCCGGCTGAGCGTGCATTAGAAGTTTCTAGAGAACTACAGCATCTAGCTCGGAGATTTTTTGAACATCATATTTTCACAACGAGATCTATCCATTAAAAATATTTTAAATATGGCGGCACTTCCGGTAATACCGGAAGTTGACAGCAACTTTCTTATTTTAAATATTATTACATACCATTTTTTATTACATACTTAAATTCTCTGTAAAATTCTATGAATATTGATGTTAAACACTCTATATCTAACATTAACCGTTTTTGAGAAAAAAATTATTCAAAATTTTTGGACGAAAAAAACTACCTGTCAAAAAAAATTGTATAGCCTAAAAGTCAAATTTAGTGATTACCATAGCCACTGTGACATAAAGAGAAGACATGTGACTATATCTACTTCAAAAATTCAATTGTCCAAATGTTATATAATAATGGCGGTAGCCGTCATGGAATTGAGCGATTAAAAAATTGTCATAAATCATTTTTTTCAAATGGAAATCCACTTTTTTTATGAAACGGTTTTTCAATTCGTTACTTTTTAACTATACATGTTCCTATACCTAAAATAAATCTTTTTTAAGTTATTCAAGATTTAAGAGTTTGAAAACGTATATTTTTCTTGATTTTATCTAGCTTCCTTTGACATTAAGTGTCAAACGGTCAGACAATTTATTTCCATCTGTCAGAAAACGAATTATTTGAATTTCCTAAGTATAAATACTGCCTGCTTAAGAGTTCAAAAAGTGTATTTATAAAAATATATCTCGTATTTTCGCTCTTTAGTGATATCTAATAGTTGATATTATTAATAATATTCCGTATGATCGAAAAAGAAACAACGCAAAGTTGGCTCGAAAATGATGTTTTTTGAACAGAGCGCCACAATATGACATGACCAGATCTATTTGTTTTACATCACTTGACGTTTAAAGTCATAGGTTACTGGTTAAAATCAAGAAAAATATACGCTTTAAAACTAAATCTTAAATAAATCAAAAACGATTTATTTTAGGTATAGGAACATGTATAGTTAAAAAGTAACAAACTGAAAAGCCTTTTCACTAGTGAAATAAAAAAAGTGAGTTTCTATTTAAAAAAAAATGATTTATGATAATTTTTTAATCGCTCAATTCTATGACAGCTGCGACCATTATTATATGACATTCGAACAATTTAATTTTTGAAATACATAGCTACATGTTTTCTCTTTATGGCAAAGTGGCTGTGGTAATCACTAAATTTGACGTTTAGGCTTTTGACATTTTCGAATATTTAAGTTTATTTGAAATTGCAACATGCGGTTTATAACGACAATTTAACTCGAAAATACCAAGTGTATGGTACAAATTATTCGGAGAAAATATGCCTTTTCGAAATATGCTAATGAGCCACCCTCGTTCCATTTGAAAAAATCGAGATATGATTAAAAATACGATTTGGGCATCTTTTAACCGGCCAACACAAGACACTAAAAACATTAGACGATTAAATCTATTTTTCCAAGGCTCCTTGATTAAAAATTGGTGTTTTTAACACAGCCACGGGACTCCAGACTGAAATTTGCAACTGATTTTTCAAAGCGAAAATATCAAAAGTTGGCATATGATATGTCATTCTATTCAGAGTGTTATTTTCTATCGAATAAAGTAAAAAAATATCGACGGTGTCATTTAAAAATTAAAAGTTGTAGTCATTACCGATGAAACAGGAAATGACCAAAAACAATTGAATACGTCAACCAATCCTAATTTACGTCATATACTAACATACCATATCTCGTTTATTTATTTACTTTTGAGACGCACCCGATAGATAAATGTTTATCGAATTAACAACTGCCGCTGAGAAATAAAGAGCGTTACAAGTCCGCCGATTTTATCCTTCGTTCATTTTATCTCACAGATCAAATCCGCGGACTTAGCCTGTTGCAGGCTTGGTCCGCCAACCAAAGGCTTGGCTTGCCACCGACTTGGTCTGGCCACAAACTGGAGGTAAAAAAAATAGCTTACTTTTTTGTTTAAAAATTTATCAAAAATATACTTATTCGTTATTTCATAAAATTGCATGTACAACGAGTATCTACATTTTCTACATAATTACATTTTTTATATTAAATACTTATTAATATTGTGAGTATTATAAATTATCTTTTTAGTTTGACCATCCAAATGCTTATTACTCCGAAGAATATAATCCAGAATGTGCAAACTCCTATGCCTTGAAGCACTTGTACGTCCCATAAAGGCCATCCCTTCTTAATAACGTTTCTCATTGATTCAATTATAAGTGTAAAGGGAAGGCATTTTGCAAAAATCCTTAACCCTATCGGCATCGCTTGTGTAGGCCAGATCAATCCTAAGGAAATATAGAACCATCATTGACATGTGTAAGTTTGTATAGAGGGTGACAATTTGAAAAGTAGCAATAGAAGAGGGTAGTTCTCCTTTTCCGATATCAGTCGTACCAAAGTTTATGCCACTAATGGTTGTCGTCTCGGCACACTCAGTGATGAGATGTTTTGGTGTTTCCCCATTTTTCCAATGGAATCTCCAGTTGTTAAAAACCCCGTGACAATCTGAAGATTGTTCTTACTTAAGTCAACGAAAATCTTTGATTTTTCTTGGTCGTGAATCTTGAGAATAGGAGCAGTAAAAAGTACTTCATGGTTCCTCTTAAGTTCTCCAATCTGTATTTAAAATTGTCCCGATAGTATTTTTTGTTAAAGAGAATAATCCAGATTGCTACTTTTTAAATTGTCACAGCGTACCTATTGTATTTTTGTTCACTTACCGCAAAGCAACATCATAGGAAGAAAACCTCCAGAAACAGATATATTTGCTTGGGAGTGGTCTTCACAAATTACCGAAACCCAAAAACCTAAAACAATACAAATATTGGATTTTTATTTTCTGCAACTAGCTAAAAAATAATTATTGGTTTAGTAAACTACAAGGTTACTCTACATATTTCAATGGTTATCATATTGATTTTTAGTCGGTGTTCTGAAGATATAACTGTTTAAAGATTCTGTACTGGTGCAAGTACACACTCGCTGAGACAACCCGAGGCCCATACGAGGCGAGTGTGTACTTAGGGCTCTCGGGCCCACTCGTCTCGCACTCTGACAGCGCTTTCAGATGGAGCGGAGCATCCGCGCGTACCGTCCGCGAGTTCCATGAGTTTAAATGAACAATTTCACGTGGGTCGCGTATGCTCCGTCCGGATGAGCTATATTGAAAAAACATCCGCGCGGACGGTCCGCTCCATCTCAAAGCGCTGTGAACGTTATGTGCCAAGTACACACTCGCCGAGGGAACCCGAGGCGAGACAAGGCGAGTGTGTACTTGGGGCTCTCGTCTTGCCTCGGTGCATCGTCTTGGGAGCGCTCGGTCTAGAGGCGGTCTCCAGCACGAGTCAAAGGAGACGAGAGCCACAGAGAAACTAAATAAAAGGGAGATACAATAGATTCTATATTTCTCTATGGCGAAAACGTTAGAGAGAATCGAAAAGTAGGAGGTCCCGCGAAAATATACACGGTGCTCTCGGGAGATCGGCTTCCTTAGTTCGTCTTCTCAACTGCCTTTGAGTTGACGCCTAATTTCGGTATTTAAATTATTAAAATATAAATATATAATTAATACAGTGGATAAACGATTTTAGTCAAAGTACCGAAAAATCTGTTAAGAGAATTGTAGAAAAAAAAAGATTCTTTAACGGTCACTTTCCGGGCCGTATAAGAAAGAAAAACACGTCTATTAAAAGCTATGCACGACGTTTTCATTCAGTTTGATGGAAAGTCTTCAAATTCCAATATATGACTTCCAACCTAATATAAACATTCATTAGTTTCTACAAGTATCTACGTTTATTTTAATAATTGAGAGGCGATCAAACAAAACGAATCCATTTTGGGATATTAGCAAAAAAACATGTCGTTATTGCAACTTTTAAACAAAGAAAATTATAATGTACATGAAAGATATTATGATACAGACTTTCTAGACACTGTTTTCGCTTTTTTGTCATCATTAACATAAGAATTATTACTCTAATTACAAAATTATTGATTAATCTCTTTTATCCTCAGTTAAAAATAAAGATTTACTTTTTATAATGTAAAAAATAGTTTGTTTTAATATTATTAGGTAAAATAGCACATATTTTATGTTTTTATGCAGCATTATGTTTTTTTTTTAAATTTTAATACACCTCACCTCCGCAACATAAAGTCGAAAATACAGTTTGTTTCGATCCTTGGCAGTTACGTCATTATTTTCGACGTTATATTGGTTTTAATGATTTTTTTATGACAAACACACACAATAGAATGATAATAATCTGTGACGTAACAGCCAAGGATCAAAAAACAAAGCGTAGATGAATATGCTTCTATAAAATACCAAAAATACAATGAAAACAAAAATAATCACAGGCGGATTTATCTTTTTCTCTTTGAAACTAATATATGCAATTTGATTTTGTGGATTTCACTGTTTTTTTTTTATTTTCTCAACCTTCAGGTCGGTTTTAAATTGGATTTAAGAAAAATTTTTGCCCAAATTTTCCCAAAAGTTTTATTAAATTTATCTCATTGAGCGCCTGATTGTTTTTATTTTTACAAAATTATTCTTCAGAATATATTTATTTGTTATTTTTTTTTAAAAGCTTAGCGTATGTAAAAAATTGTTTAATTTTTGCCTTCAGACCGCTATCCCCAAGAATTTTCTTCTAAGTTTTTGTTATATTTGATCGGTCAAGACTTCCTCTTTGTATATTTATTTATGTACTGTAAAATTTAATTGGTGTGTTTTTGCGCAATGTCTCGGGGCGCTTCGCTGGACCGCGCATTTTTTGTGGCCAGTTGAGAATTGAGTGTGTACTTCCAGCATTAAGCAGGGCGCCCATTGAATCAGATCGGATCGGCACGGCATCGTTCAGTCCGGAAATGTCCAACACCCGCTCACCAATTCGGTATGCTTCAGTTTATCAGTCGAAATATAATTTTTGTGGCGTGTAGTTTATTTTAGTTCGGATTAGAATTTTATAAACAATACTTAATAATTTATATAATATAGGCTCTTCATCTTCCGACGGAGATGATATGATCGCATTGGCATGCCTTGAGATAGAGAAACAAACTAGGAGATTTTGGGTCAACGAAATTAACCTCAAACGAGGTGTATTTGGAGAGTTTGTGAACCTGTTTCCTGATTTATTAAGAGATGACCAAAATGATGTTGTAGGTATTGTTGACCTAATAATGTAAATTGATTTGCCTGAGGTTGACGTGGCGTTTGTTGGATATTTTTATGCTAAACTGACTGAGATGATGTGGTGGTCTGACGATCGTGGAAATTTTTTAGTTCATACTCCAAGTTCATGTTACCCAGGCTGTGAGCTGACATTTTTTCTTTAATTTCGATTTGTAAATGTGGCTCAAAAGTGCGTACGGTTTCTTCCATAGCCTCAAAAAATTTTGTTAGATGGTCTTTTTCTTGTAGGGGAGGTTTTTTTGATGCTACTTTTCTTTAAATAATTTTGTACTATCTTTGACATGGGTACCTGTTGACGATCTTTAACAGATTTGAATGAACTCATCGAAGAATGATCATAGAAGTGTGGATATTCTCTAAAAGTATCAATTAAAAGTTCTTCATCCATTGTAAACAATAAATAGCACACAAAATAATTAACTACAAGGTAGTACACACTGTCTATATCAACCACAACGAGAAAACTGATCGGACCTTCGGAATTTTTTGTCCTCTCTACCAAAAACGACTGATTCCGAAGCCAACCGATGGACGTTGCCGAGCGGGACTGAAGCAGTGCGCGGATGTCAATCTATTTCTACGTATTTCAAATCATTCCGACAGGACTGTTCCGTGCCGATCCGATCCGATCCGATTCAATGGGCGCCCTGCTTTAGAATAAGATCTGTTCAGTGAGAGACAACATCCAGATATTTACAGAAAAAACGTTTTGTTTTGAATTATAATGACAGACAACTGCCGATATTGGACTTCCTCGCACTAATGAGCCACTCTGAATAAAAATGAAGGGTAAAGGAAGAAAAAACGATGTGTCCACTTAATAGTAATTTTGAAATAATCAACTTAATCTGTTAAAATAGCAAGTCCCAAACAGATGCTAAATTATTGTAACTGAATACAGGGTGATTCACGGCCATGGTACGTTAGATGTTTATGGAGAACTGGTGGTAGGATTTTTTGGAAAATTTGAATTTTTGAATAAAGGCACCTGCTCCATCTGTCTAAATTATTTTTAATGCTACATTGTTGCTGCTCGTACGTTAAAAATAACAGTGTACAGTTGTTAATTCGATAAGCATTTATCTACCGGGTGCGTCTTAAAAGTGGCTCACTCCTATAACTTTTTTATTTTTTCAGATAAATAAAAGAGATTTGGTATGTTAGTATATGACGTAAATTAGATTAGAATTGATTGACGTATTCAATTGTTTTTTGTCACTTCCCGTTTCACCGGAAATGACTACAACTTTTAATTTTTAAATTGCACCGTCGGTATTTTTTTTCTTTATTTGATAGAAAATGACACTCTGAATAGAATGACATATCATATTATGTCAATTTTTGACATTTTCGGATATGGTTTATTTGAAATTGTGACATACTGTTCATAACGAAAATTTGACTCAAAATACCAAGCGTGTTAAATCACAATCATCAAAATACCAAGTGTGTCAAATTATTCGTAAAAAAATGCTTTTTTCAAATATGCTAATGAGCCACCCTTGTTCCATTTGAAAAAACTGAGATATGATTAAAAATACGCTTTGGTCATATTTTAATCGGCCAGGAGAAGACATGAAAAACATTAGACTAGAACATTAGAAAATGTCAAATGTTGACATATGATATCCATTCTGTTTAGAGTCATCTTCTATTGAATAAAGTAAAAATATACCGAGGGTGCCATTTAAAAATCAAAAGTTGTAGTCATTTCCACTGAAACAGGAAGTAATAAAAACAATTGAATACGTCAATCAATCCTAATTTATGTCATATACTAACATACCAAATCTCGTTTCGTTATCTGACAAAATAAAAAAGTTATAGGGGTGAGCCACTTTTGAGACGCACCCGGTATAGTTATTTGATTGAAATGATAAATTTGAGAACTTTTTATTTTTTAAATTAATAATAAATTTTTCTTTGAAAAAATGATGATAAAACAGTTTCTGCTGAACTTTTGACACAAAATCATTTCAAGTTTATGATTTCAGTCTTATAACTATTTAGTCAACATGTTTAATTTATGTCATTGATGACTGGTATTGATAACTTTTATTCCAAATATCTCGAGAACCATTCAGGCTGAGAGCGTCGAGCATAGCGTCGCGTCCGCCCCATTGAACTTTTGAACGCACCCCGACGCTCAGCGGACGCTAGCGCAACGCCAAACGCGACGATGTCTGCCTGAACGGTCTAATTTAATTTAAGTGAATTGATTCCATTTCGACACGCGGACGCGACGCAAACGCGACGCGACGCTCGACGCTCTCAGCCTGAATGTACCTTTACTCGTAGCGATTTTTACCAAGAGACATTTTTTTCTCAAAAACCGTCGTAAACGTAGGTATATGTTTTATTCATTAGTTTTATACAGGTACGGACGAAAAGTTATTACTCTTCAAACCAGTTAAAAAATATGTAGGTGGTGCCCTCTACATGTAGGAGGCATATTGACATCAAAATCGAATTTCTCATGTCAAGAAACTTCCAGACACCAATTTTCAACCAAATATTAACGTTACTACAGAAATTATTTGGAGAAAATCTGGAATTATTTGGAAAATTTGGAATAAAAATGACATTTCTACACCCTGTATCTCCGAAACTAAGCAATTTTGGACATACATTTATACAAACTTTTTTACTTATTTTTACCTGCAGAATATGCTGCCGAAGTTTCCGAATATTATTAAATAAATATTATTAATTAAAGTATGTATATTAAATAAATTTTCCCAGTAAAAGTCAGTTTTGTCAGATCGTCCGTTTTCCCCTTACCCTTCAAATATAAATACAATGATAATGATCTTACCATAGGCCATTCCACATATGCCGACCCAATATGCCATAAAGATAATCAAAATCCAATTCCCAATAAACGGATACTGATATAATCCAAATATCATCACCAAAACTTCAATCGTTTGCACGAACATCACTCCTGCTTGTAGTAGAAAATGCGTTAAGGTAATTTCTAGCGATGTTACTCCGGCAACTATAGATCGATCCCATACGCCTTCTCGTCTATCGGTAATAATGATCTGAGATGTCATCGTAGAGCCCATGAAAAACAACATTCTGAAATTGGAATTAGAGACAACTGAAAACGTCCAAATTCTAAAAAATACCATGTGATCGAATGAAAACGATGTCAGAGTAAGTCTAGAAATATCTTTTTATTTAGATTTTTATTGTATTGGTATAATTATTTACCCTTTCTCTTGTAGCAACGTTTTTCTAATGTTTAGACTTGGTCTAGTTAAATTGTACAGGGTGGTGCCTCTCAGACGCCGCGCAAGCTCCAAGGAGAACGGTATTTTATATCGAAATGAAATTTTGGCAGCATATGTATGTTAACTGAAAGCATTTTATAAAAATATATAGAATTATACAGGGTGTCCCCAAAAAAAGTTACACATCAAAGTTGTGTTTTTTCTAATGGGACACCCTATATATTAATTGATTTTCGGATTCTAGGAAAAAAATAAAGGTGAGTTTTATTAAAGAAGCTAAAATCTAAAGATTTTGACATATTTCACATTTTGTGAAAATGAAGAGTAAATTTTAAATTTCGATAACAGCTTCCTAAATTTTAGTTGACCTTGTATAGCCTGATATTTAGTTATAGTAACCAATGTATGTTAAACCAAATTGAAATTTGACCCGAAAAGTTATACAGGGTGAGACAAAATTAATATGGTACATTAGTCACTTTTAAAAGCAAGTTACTCCTTTATTTTAAATGGAACACCCAGTATATTTTCCGGTGTTCAATGGGGAATTTATATATCTTCAAAATACTATTAAGGTTGCCTACCCCTCAGATAAAGACTTTTCCAGATATTTAAATTTTTATGATTTTGCGTCAGTAAATCTTTATTATTTGAAAAAATCTAGGTGGCTGTGTGAACCTTTTGTTAATTTAACAAAAATTAAAGATTGTTGAGTAAAATAATCAAGGGTAATAAAAAGATACACTACGTTTAAAACATATTTCAATTACTACAGAATTAAAACTAGATATAAACCTATAATTATGCGATAAAAATTAGCTAGATGAAATCAAATGCTCAAAATGCTTCCTTTCCTGTTAACTGCATAAAATGATTGTCTTTTCAAAAGGATCTTTTCATTTTAAACGGCATATGTGGAGTTCTACCTCGAAAAGCAGCTACAATAATTTCTCTCATGTTGTCGACACTAGTTGGTCGAGTTTTGTAAACACTGTTTTAACGTATCCCCATAAATAAAAACCAGACTAGATAAAATCAGGAGTATTTAAGTATTCTATTAATTAGTGAATGCACACTGCATTCACTAACTAATAGAATACTTAAATACCCTATCAATTCTCTCTGTTGTAGGATAAGTTTGCATTTTCGGAAAATTTTTGAGAATTTTTTTTGTTTTAACTGACACAAAAAGTTGGACTAATTAGACAGCTATGTTAAAGTAACGTCAGACATATCACAGCCACCTAGATTTTATCAAATAATAAAGATCTACACAGGTCAAATCATGTAAATGGAAATATCTAGGAAAATCTTTGTTTGAGGGGTAGGCAACCTTAACAGTATTTTAAAGAGACATGAATTCTCCATTGAATATCGGAATAATATACTGGGTGTTCCATTTAAAATAAAAGAGTAACATGCTTTTAAAGGTGGCCAATGTTTAATATTAATTTTGTCACACCCTGTATAACCTTTTTGATCAATTTTAATTTGATTTAAAGTACAATAGTTAATTTAACTACATATTAGGCTATACCGGGTAAATTCCAATTTAGGTAGCTTTTATTGTAATTTAAAAATTGTTCTATATTTTTAGAAAATGTTAAATATGTTAAAAACCTTACATTTTAGTCATGATACAAAGAATACAAGGTATGATATTGCGCAGGTTGGTCACTACGTCACAGGTGATAAACGGTACCATTGGTCGGCAAGCTCCGCGCGCCAATTTCAAATTGTCAAACAGATGACACAAAAAATGTGAAAATAATTTTTCAAATGTCAAGCTCCATGATTTGACATAACTTTTGGGGTTATGTCCTAATTCTTCCCTATTTTAGGTCTTTTTTTATTAGTGGCAATTGAACAATACGAATATTTTTTTGTATGGCGTATGACGTCACAGGTGGTATGCGCAAACTTAACGAAATTGGAGCCGCTATCGATCATACCTTGTTTTCTTTGTACCATGCATTTTAGTCATATACTTCTCTTATAAAACTCACCTTTATTTTTCTCCCTGAATACGAAAATCAATTAATATATAGCGTGTTCTATTACAAAAAACACAACTTTGATATGTAACTTTTTTTGGGGACACCCTGTAGAACTCTCTATATTTTTAAAAAGTATGCTCACAAAATTTCATTTCAATACAAACTGTCGTTCTCCTTGGAGCCTCCGCGGCGTATGAGAGGCGCCACCCTGTATTTTTGGTGGGAAAGTTTTGGCACAGTTCTGGTTTAATTCGTTTGTTTTTTTTAGACTTCAAATCTGAAGTTTGCTGACAAAAGCTAGCGACGGAACATTGAAAATAAGGAAAAAAACGTAAAAAATGTAATTTTTGCGGATTTTTTCTTATACCTAACTCAAAAAATAAAATTTTCAGAAATAATATTTCTATACAAAATACAGGTAGACAAAACTCCCTAAAAATTCATTTCTTCATAGTTTTTTTCATCAGATAAACCAATTGGGCTCTAGCGCTAGTTCAAGATTAGCTTATTTTCAGCTATCATATTACATTACAAACCACTACTCCTCTTCCCCAGAAAGATGACAGATCTGGGGGTTGTGTAGGGTTATACCGCTTATACTCGGACGCCAGAGCCTCGTTTTTTAAACAGGGTGCAATATACCAAGTGTGTGGTACCAAATTATTCTTAAAAAAAATCTTTTTCCAAATATGCTAATTCCCTCATTCCATTTGAAAAAATGGAGCTATGATTAAAAATACGATTTGAACATCTTTTAACGGGCCAGGACAAGACACTAAAAACATTAGATGACCAAATCTATTTTCCAAGGCTCCTTGATTAAAAATTATTGTTTTTAACACAGCCATGGCACCCTAGATTGAAATTTAAATACAATTTTGTTGTAAGCGAAAAAGTCAAAGGCTGACATATGATATGGCATTCTATTCAGAGTGCGATTTTCTATCGAATAAAGTGAAAAAATACCGATAGTGTCATTTAAAAATCAAAAGTTGTAGTCATTTCCGGTGAAACAGGAAATGGCCGAAAATGATTGTAGAAGTTAATCAATCCTAATTTGTCTCATACACTAACATACCAAATCTCGTTTTTTTATCAGAAAAAATAAAAATAATTATAGGTGTGATTCACTTTTTGCACCCCAAAGATATTAGCATATCATTAGTTTTAACATTTGACAAAAGCACAAATTATAAAATGTCACTGTAAAGAACTTTGGCTGTAGACATAATAAACCTGCAAATTTAAATGATAATTCTACGCCTACTGTGACATCGTTTTCATACAATTACACTGTACTTGAATGACATACGTTACGATAGTACCGGGAATCATATAAATCGTATAAGGTTCGTCCTCGTTTCCGTGTATGAAGTGTTGTCTAAGCGGCATATTCCCCATCCTCTTAGGCCATTTACATTCCTCAAAAAGGTCTTCTTGAAAGTCATAGAACAACTCGAATAGCTTGTATTTAAGAGTGGCTCCGATTTGCCTGTTTGACATATCCAAGTAGGCCTTAATTTCACCAAAATCTGCCATCCATGTTTCGGCATCTTTTCCTTGTTCGATCTAGAAACAGATTAAGCCAAATCCGGGATTTAATAAAAAAAAATGTAGATGTAATTACTATAGTCTCCTGTTAATTTTAAATAACTATTATTTGTATCAGAAAACAGTTTAACATAATTATGTACAGGCAGTCCTCGTACTTACGGCATGTTAGGTTCTTCAAAATAGCGCCTTAAGTCGAAACGACGTAAGTCGAATCTTATTTTGTCATAAGATCCTATAGGAAATTGAGAAGTTAGGTACTTTTGTAAGATAAAAATACGATACAACAAAGAGGTATGCGTTTGTATACAGGGTGGTCCGAACTGTATTCCGGAAACTTCGGCAGCATATTCTACAGATCAAAATAATTAAAAAAGTTCGTATAAATGTATGTCCTAAAATGCTTAGTTTCGGAGATACAAGGGTGTAGAAGTTTCATTTTTATTTCGATTTTTTCCAAATAATTTCTGAAGTAACATCGATATTTAGATCAAAATTGGTATCTGGGTGTTTTGTGACACGAGAAATTTGGATTTTGATGTCAAAATTACTCCTATTTGTAGGGGGCGCCACTTACATGTGTATTAACTGTTTTGAAGAGTAATAACTTTTCGACCGTACCTGTATAAAACCACTGACTAAAAAAATATGCATTTCCATGACTTTTTATGTAAAAAATGTCTCTTGGTAAAAATCGCTACGAGCAACCGTTCTCAAGATATTTAGAATGGAAATAGTCAATACCATGTCATTATTGACAAAAAATAAGCACACGTTTTGAGTATAGTTATTTGACTGAAATAATAAATTTTTATTTTTTTAAATTAATCATAAGTTTTTCTGCGAAAAAATGATGATTAATCAGTGTCTTTTGAACTTTTGACACAAAAAGATTTCATATTTATGATATCAGTCTAATAACTATTTAGTCAGCATGTTTAATTTATGTCAATGATGACAGGTATTAATAATTTCGATTCCAAATATCTCGAGAACCATTACTCCTAGCGATTTTTACCAAGAGACCTTTTTTATGTAAAAAAAGTCGTAAATGTATATTTTTTTACTCAGTAGTTTTATACAGGTACCGATGAAACGTTATAACTCTTCAAAACAGTTAAAACACATGTAGGTGGCGCCACCTACAAGTGGGTGTCATATTGACATCAAAATCAAATTTCTCATGTCAAAAATCACCGATCCATTTTCATCCAAATATTGACGTTACTTCAGAAATTATTTAGAAAAAATCGAAATAAAAATGAAACTTCTACACCCTGTATCTCCGAAACTAAAAAATGCTTAGTTTCGGAGCATACATTTATACGAACTTTTTTACTTAATTTTATCTGCAGAATATGCTGCCGAAGTTTCCGGAATACAGTTCGGACCGCCCTGTATATTAATATTATTGTATTTTTAAATAATTGAGGTATGAGAAACAGTGTATTGTAATGTAGTTAAACTTATAATAATACAAGAAACAAAAATATAAAAAAAAATATTTTTTTATGAAAAATTAAGGCGAGTATTTTTAACTATCCATATAATAGTAAATAAAATACATATACTAATATGGCAACTACAGAAATACCAGAGAGTAAAGTAAACATATTTAGAAAGTATATAATTATTTTTTTTGGTTGGAACTTTTATTGTGGCACAGAATATCTAGCTACGCAACAGAAGCCTCGTTACATGTATAAAATTGTAGGTAGCAAAAGGAGACAGGCTTTAAAAGCCTGTCTCCAAATCAGATATTTTGATGTGGTAGTTTCGCTACTACATAATAGAGGGCAATAAATTTAAAAGAAAACAGTTTTCTACAAACAAAATTTAAAAAGAATTTTGTGCAGTGTTGCCATTGTGTAATTCATATCGTAATACTTCCTGATAAAGCCTACCTTCAAATTTGCTACATCATTTAAACATATTAAAATAGATCAGAGCTGTTTTTTTTCAGTTTGCCATGTTAGTTGGAATTAAATCTTATGAGCTAAATTACAATCACTTCCTGACGTTTGATTGTATAATTGAATCCTGAATTTTCATTGTAATTCGGCGACAATATAATAAGTATTGTTCTACTATTATGATACCACTTCCTGACGTTTATTGTGTTCATACCAAGTTCATATCGTATAATCGGGAAAAAACGGCGTTAGCGATAGCTATGAAATGAATATCGCTGTCATTTTATATGTAAATTTATATGGGAAAAGTCATCGATCGTCCTTTTTCAGCCAACTGGACGCCGTTTTTTTCAGAAGCATATCAAGTGATACCATAATATAGTACTATATTACGATACATGGCGTTCGATTGGGCTTAAACTTGGTATACTATATCTTCAGTGACATTGTAATATCATGGTACCATGGAGCATATAAAGTGGTACCTTCTATAGTACCATATTTGATGACATAGCAATATTAGGTACATGGCGGCAATAGGGCTTAAACTTGGTATACTACGTATTTTCGGTGATATTGTAATATTATGGTAGCATGGAGCATAATACGAGGTACCATAATATAGTACCATAATATAGTACCATATTACGATGTCATTTCCTGGCGTTCGATTGGGCTTAAACTTGTTATACTACGTATCTTCGGTTACATTGTAATATGATGGTACTATGATGCATATAAAGTGGTACCTTAATATAGTACCATATTTCAATACCATTTCCTGGCGTTCGATTGAGCTCATATTTGATATATACTTGCGTATTTTTGATGACATTGCATTATTATGGTACCATGAAGCATATCAACTGGTACCATAATATAGTACTATATTAGGTACATGGCGTTCGATGGGGCTTAAGATTTGTTTAATTAATAATTTTAATTTATTTTACGAATTTTAATTTATTTTAATTTATTGTTCGATGTCGTGACAGCAACTTTTATGCCGAACTAATATATTATTAATTGTACCTGTGTCACTTTTTAAAATCTACCTAGGTCTATATAAATAACGTGGCAAACGGAAGAAATTTGTTATAGTATTTTTTAGTCAGTTAACATTTTTTGTACTGCATTTTAATAAATTATTTCCATTATTATTAAACTTATATTTCATTACTAACGTTCCAGCATTAATAAATATCACTATCAATCTCCCTGTATATTATTAATTTTAAAGGTAATTAAAGGTATTTTCTTAGTTAACATTATAAGGTAGTGTATGTTAAAAATGTATATGTTTTGTAATAATATAGTTAAAACTATTTTAATAGCCAAAGGAATAATTAATATAAGTGTATCTGGCAAGAAAAGAAGAATAGAAAGAAACACATACTGGCATTATACACAATAAAAAGAATGGGATGCCAATTCAAGTCTTTTTGAATCTGGCAACTGTGCATATTTAGCCGAGCTATAAGGCCGTCGACGAGCCGTCGATCCAAAACCGAAAGTTCAAAATTTCTAATTATTGTTGCGGGCCGGTGTGGACTCGACCTAACCTCACAATATGGCCCGCCCTCGGATGACCTTAACATCGCATAGACACCGCAATGATTCATTCGTTCGAGAAGAATCGAGTCCCACTGGAATGGACGAGTACATACGAGAACATTCGAAAACCTTCTCTACGCACCTAACGATCTATGGACAATTCTAGAGTTCTTTACCTGCCGGTATAAAAGCCGGCGGCCGTGGCCTACAGGGGGCAGTTATAAATATACCAGTGCAGTTGACGCGCGAAAATTCAAAATAAATTCTTAGTTATAAATCGTTTGTAAATAGTTCTATAAGTCTTTTATCGTTATTATTTCTGTTAATTAGTGTTAAATAAATAGTGTTTAAATAAATTGTGACTTTCTATCCACACGGAACCGACGAAAAACGTAACAATTGGTGTCAAGTGTGGCGTGTGTGATAGACAAGAAGAATAAAAAGACTGACCATGGCTCTGAAAAAATTGTTGAAAGACTTGAAAGTGTCCGAACTGAAATGCATATTGGAAGAGAGAGAGTGCGAGACAGATGGAAAGAAAAGCATTTTGCAAGCTAGACTGAGAGACGTTTTGGTGGAGGAAGGTGAGGATCCTGACACATTTTACTTCGAGCTGGAAGGTGACCTTGACTCGTCATTGAAAAATTTACAAGACAATTTAAACGACAATTTGAATAGTAAAATAATTGACTTGGAAGTTAATTTAGAAGAAAAATCAGTGATAAAATTAATATTTTAGAAGATAAGATCGCAGAAAATTCTAAAGACATACAGGCCAGCTTTAATAATAAAATAATTAATTTAGAAGAAAAGATAACAGAAATTATAGAGAATTCTACGGAACTACAAGACAAAATAACACAAATTGAGGACGATGTAAATAAAAAAAATCGAAATTTTAAAACAAGAAATAGAAAAGGCCAATTCACCAAAATGTCAAGAAACATCGGAGGCACCGAAACTAGTCGAAAATAAGTATATCTCAAAGTCAGTTATTAAGCCTCCACAGTTTGACGGAAAAAACCGCTTGGGCCAATTATTTTTTGCCAGTTTGAGGCCGCTGCGAGAGCGAACGGATGGACAATCGCTGAAAAGGCTACCGCTTTGACTGTCGCACTGCGAGGAGATGCGACTGATATTCTGCAGACATTGTCACCATCGGAACAGGGAGATTATCAGCAATTGGTACGACATTTAGAAATGAGGTACGGCCAAGCTCATTTGGAACATGTCTATCATTCCCAGCTAAAAAATCGCATTCAAAAGTCAAATGAGTCTCTGCAGGAGTTTGAAGCCGACGTAGCCCGCCTCGTTCGCCTTGCGTACCCTGCTACGCCAGAGAATGTTATGGAGCGGTTGGCAGTACAGGCATTCTCCGACGGCTTACGTGATAACGAGACAAGACAAGCACTTATCTAGCCCATCCAACGCACTTGGTGGATGCTTTAGCACGTGCCCTAGAATTTGAGGCCGCGAAACAAAGTTCTCGGTCTTTAGGAAGAGTACGGGCCATCGACGAATGTTCCGACGAATCCGTGGAAGGGATTGTTC